GGAAGCCAAAAGTGGTGTTTCACTACGTCGATGACGAGGAGAACCGGAGGCTTCTAGAGCCTTATGTACACGACTTAAGAGTCAATGGTAGCCCGTGCCGAGTTCTTCGCGACTGCGCAGCAACCATCGATGTCATGCACCCGTCTCTGGTTAGGCCAGATGACTACACGGGGGAATGTGCATGGATTAAGCAGGCAGTCGAAGATCAAAAGGTCTGCCTCCCCATTGCTCGCGTTAGTGTAGAAGGTCCCTTTGGGAAGCTGGAGACCGAGGCCGCGGTTTCCCGCAATCTGCCGCTCAGCTGCCCCTATTTGTTTTCAAACAAATCCGATCAGATGCTGCGAAAAAGGGGCCTAGTGTTTAGCGAAAGGAAGGTGCAGGCGCTAACGAGAGCCAGGGCGCGCCAAATAGCTGCGGAAGTGGTGTGTCGGAGTGAGGATGAAGTTCCACCGAGCTGTCAGTCAACTTCGGACGGGCCCTCTTCCTCCGACAATGCGGAGACCACTTCTACGGACAAAATGGGGTCAACGCGACACGGGAGCGCCGCCGGGGAAACCGGGAAACTCGCGAGAAGCGATACCGCGGCGGAGATAGAAGAGGGAAAGATTGTGCCTGGCTGCGAAACGGGGGACGAGGGGGGACTCGTACTCTCCCCTTCGTCGCGTAGCTTTCATGCCTTGCTACAGGTTGACCGAGAGCTTCTCATTGAGCAACAACAGAGTGATCCGAGCCTTACAGTACTGCATGATACCGCCAAAGATGGCATAAGCAGACGGAACGTCTCGTATCAGATCAAGGCAGGGGTACTCTACCGCCATTACAAAGATCGTAAGGGCAGGGTTCTCGACCAACTGGTCGTGCCCCAGAAGTACCGCTCGGACCTCTTAGAGTTGTCTCATGGGAGCTCTTGGTCAGGTCACCTCGGCATTAAGAAAACGAAGGACCGGCTGTTACAAGAGTACTACTGGCCAGGCTGCTTCCGCGACGCGGAAAACTTTGTACGGTCGTGCGACGCGTGTCAGCGTGTGGGGAAGCCGCACGAGAAGAACAAAGCACCGCTGAGACTAGTGCCGCTGATCACAGAGCCTTTTCGCCGCCTGGTCATAGATACGGTAGGTCCATTGCCAGTGAGCAAGTCAGGGTACAAGTATGTATTGACGCTACTTTGTCCCGCGACGAAGTTCTCAGAGGCATGTCCTCTGAAAGAGTTGAGTTCAGCCGAGATCGTGGATGCGCTGCTGTCTGTGTTTGCGAGGATTGGATTTCCCGCTGAAATCCAATCAGACCAGGGTAGTGTTTTCACTAGCGCCCTCACGAACACATTTTTGGAGAAATGTGGCATTCGTGTTGTGCATAGCTCCGTGTACCACCCTCAATCAAACGCCGTAGAGAAATGGCATTCAGTTTTCAAACGAGTTCTGCGCGCGCTGTGCTTCGAGCAGAAAGTAGATTGGGAGGCGTGTCTTCCGGCAACCATGTTCGCATTGCGCACAGTGCCACATGAAGCCACGGGTTTCAGCCCGGCCGAGCTTGTGTATGGGCGTTCGCTGCGCTCGCCACTACGCATGTTGCGTGAGTCGTGGGAAGGCCAAGGGGAAGACCCGACTGTGGTGGAGTACGTGTTGAAGCTCTTAGATCGCATGCATAAGACACAGGAAGTAGTTGAGGCGAACATGCAGCGGGCGCAGGCGAAGGCGAAACTCTACTATGACAGGGGAGCCAGGGAGCGTAAGTTTGAAGTGGGAGACCAAGTGATGCTGCTGAGGGTTTCCAAGAAAAACAAGTTAGAGGTGCAGTGGGAAGGTCCAGCCAAAGTGCTGCAAAAGCTCTCTGAGACGAACTACGCTGTGGAGTCGGGGGGGAAACGAAAGAAAGTACGGATATATCACTGTAACCTGTTGAAACCTTATGTGGGGAGGAAAGAGATAGTTAGCCTTGCTTGGAACACCCCAGAGGAAGTCCCCACGGAGATTCCTACTTGGGAGGGGAAGAGGGGAGAGTATGATGTAGACACCGTCATAGCCAAGGCAGTAAAGACCGACGTTCTTACTGAAGATCAGCTGAGCGATCTGCGCAAAGTGATCAGTGAGTTTGAGGGGTTGTTTTCCGATCGACCTGGCCGTACTAATCTCGTGTGCCACGATATTGAGCTCACCGAGAGTACTCCAGTGCGATCGAAGGCGTACAGGGTCTCTCCAAGACGGAGAGACATACTAGCTGAAGAGATCGAACGCATGCTCCGGCTCGGGGTTATCGAGGCCGCCGAGAGCGACTACACCTCTCCACTCATACTGGTGGAGGTGCCGGGCAAAGACCCCCGCCCTTGTATAGACTATCGTAGACTCAACACGATCACCCGAGATCAAACGTACCCTATCCCTAACATAGAGGAGAGGGTAGAACGAGTCAGTGCCGCTAAGAACACGTTTCGCACCTGCGGGAAGTGTTTCGCAGACTACGCGAAGCAGGCCTTACAGTAAAGGCAGAAAAATGCCAACTGGGGCAAGCGGAGGTGACCTACCTGGGGCATGTAATCGGACAGGGCTGTCGGCGACCCTCAGAGATTAAAGTAGCAGCCGTTGGGAGCTTCCCTAGACCCGAAACAAAGACGCAGATTCGTTCGTTTCTGGGCTTGACTGGCTATTACCAGCGATATGTCGCGAACTATTCTCAGGTAGCCAGTCCCCTCACTGATGCTCTCAGGAAGAACGAGCCCAACAAAGTCGGGTGGGACGAGAAGAAGGAGCAGGCTTTCCAGAGCCTAAAGAAGGCGCTCACCGAGCGGCCGGTGCTAAGAGCACCTGATTATGATCAGCCATTCTTTGTGCAGTGCGATGCAAGTGACCGGGGCATGGGGGTTGTTCTGTGCCAAAAAGAAGGGGACGAAGAGCCCATTCTCTACGCGAGCCGCAAGCTGACAACACGGGAGGAAGCGTATAGCGCCTCCGAAAAGGAGTGTGCTTGTCTAGTCTGGGCCGCACAAAAGTTGTCTTGTTACCTGGCGGGAGCTCCATTCACCTTTGAGACGGACCACTGTCCCCTGACCTGGCTGCAGCAAATGTCGCCAAAAAACGGACGGCTGCTAAGGTGGAGCTTAGCACTTCAGGAGTTTAACTTCCGAGTAACATACAAGCGGGGGAAGCTGAACTCGAATGCAGACACTCTCAGTCGCATGTATTGAAAGGGGGTTGTACAGACGCTATAAAGCCTTGAGAGATTTCTAGCCATTCTAGTGTTTTAGTGCTTTCTCGATGTCTTGTTTGGTGGGTCAGCCGCGCTCGGACGGCAGAATTTGATGACAGTGAGATTAATTAGGGTGATCTTTACTTGGCGAATTTCCGGGCGGGGTGAATGCTTGCTGATTTCTGTTGTGTGATGTTTTGTGATTCCGTGATTCATGCGCTGCTTGCATGTTTGAGAGGTGAAAAAGTAGCAGCGCCGATTCTGGGGCCTGGAAGACAGCAGCGAGCCATCGGCTTTCGGCAGAGCGGTTGCAGACCCCTCAACCTCAAGACCGTTTACCCGTCGGCGGAGGAGCTGTTGTATCCCTGCGGGCGTCCGGCTTCATCACCAAGTATCGGCGATCGGCGAGATGGACCGGTCACACCTGGCGCCCTCGTTTTCCCGAGGCATGAAGGAAAGGAACTGCCTCGGCTGCCCCGACAGAACTGGCAGCGCCGGGAAGTCTACTCATCTGGCGTAGTTTTGAACGTCCCGGACAAAGGACGCTCCTACAGCCTCGAGCTACCTGGGGGTAGCAAGACAACGAGAAAGAAAACGGTCTGGTGCAAGAGCGCGCGCAAGAGCGTGGTGTTTTTTTTTTTTTTTTTTGCTGGAACTCGCAACCGAGATGAACGCTGCTGACGATCAGCCGCCTAACCTGTACATAGGATGTAATTAAATCTGTACATACTGTACAGTTCGTTACCGCTGATCGGCTCCCAGTCTCCTGCCCCACTCCCGCTCCCGTGCCTGGCATGAGTCGACACACCACCAACCAGGGTCAAACGCTCGGTCCCAACAGCGGGAAGTTGTAAACCTAATCTTTCGAGGCATACATCAAGGACAGCCTTTTCGGTTTGTACCCCAGTCTCTCTCTCAGTATCGCGGAAGCCGAAGAAAAGAAGGTTAGCTCGGCGCACTCGGCTCTCAGCGTCTTCACAGCGTGTTCTGAGCTGAGATATCTCGGCGGCGGCAGACTCCATCCAGTGAGCTGAACTGACGCTGCTCTTTACGCCGGTTGATTTTATAGCGGAAAGGTCATTTTCTAGCTGGTTGGCCGTATTGTGAGCGCATTTAGTGAATCTTCGTTGCCGCTTTGTTTTACTTTTATGTCTCTAACTTCCTGGAGGATGTTATTTTGGCCTGACGTGTCGTTAAAATATCGAGAACTTTATTTAGTAGAGCTTCCTGTTCTTTGGTCATTGGCTCAGGGCTAGACTCAATATCCCCACCCTGAATCTAACACGGTCGACATATGTAGAAATGGACGCAAAGGCAATCTTGTACATTTGAGATACAACTCAAAGCATGCCTTGGAGCCCGGCAGCACAAAACAACACAAGTCATTCCCTTTGAATTCAATATGTGCAAATTTACCAACCTGGAACGAGACGACACAAAACTTAGGCATCTTGATGGTGCAGTTGCTGCTGGCCCACTGACAAAATTATTTGTAAAGGTGGACGCTTGGAGTGCATATCGATGGCAATCGACCCCGGAAGGTGGTTCCAGTCCTGGGATGCACAGGGAACAAAATGCGAATAAAAGGCTGTCGTGGTAAAATTGTGAATGCAAACCTTGCGCCGATGGCCGAGACGAGAAAAAGCGTGACAAGGGCGGGTGACAAATTAATCGAATGCGATTAAGTTAGGACACTAAGTTTTACGAAATAAAGCGAGGCGAGACATGTTTGGAGGCAGGGATTAAGGTTGCAGCATTGACAAATGAGCTTTTACCGCATTGTGTGCTTGAGTTTTCAATTCCCTCGCCCGTTTCAGTTCTTTTGTGGTGCGACCATCATCTCTTCTCAATGGCTTCTAACGGCTGCCCATTGCCTCTTCGTGCGCCAAGGCGACGGCTATCGCAAGAAGAGCGTGAACGAGTTTAAACTTCGTCTCGGTAAGAAAAGACTCGTGACATTATACACTCCGTTTACAAACTAATCAATGTCTGCCTACATCTGGTGCGGGTAGCGTTCAAACAGATTTGCGTTAAGTGAATCGTCGGCGCACGGGCCCTGCCATAGCCTGCTATATATTGACAAAACCGGGCAGATCGCCACGAGATGTGGCCGCCGAAATGGAAAAGCTGGAGCGGCAGACAACGGATGAGAGGAGAGCCACGTGACTGGCGCGCCGCTGCGGCGAGACGCCGAAACACACTTCTCCCAAGCGGACAAGTGTGTTTCGGGTCCTCGCCGCTGCGAAAGCTGTGCGCTGACTTTCAGGTTCCCCGAGAAATGGCTCTTTGATGCTCTGTGCTACCAGATCCTCGCGCTCCAAATTTGCGACCAGGCACTCTATGGCTCCGTCGTCGAACTGCCAGGCTTTATGAGTATAGAGGAGGCTATGGCACTGCTTTAGCAGCGTCAGTGTAGCGTGTTGATGTGTACAATCCTAACACACCCCCGGGCTAGCCATTGTACCTCAGAATTTCATACATAAATAAACAAACATTTAATATAGATCTGTCTGGAGCCTCTCGCTAAAATGTGTATCCCCCCTTTCCAATTTTAAATTTGACAATCCCGGACAAGCCTTTGGAAGCACTATACAGTTATTATAATGTACGCTAGAGGTTCAACTGGCGCTAGTGTCTATGCGACTTCCGGGATGTAAATTGAAGCAGACAGCAACAATTCTACTTTTCGGTGCTCCTGTGCATTCCTGAAAACGCGCGTAAATTTTCTCTCTTCACCGAAAAAACAAACAAACCATACATAACTTTTATGTGGGCCGTGCCGAATGGTGTGCACATTTATCAACACTGTAAACGTGTAATTGCTCTGGTTACGTCATGAGTATTCGTAATATTTACTCTTAGAATTAATCTAAGAGAAAAAAAACGTACTTGCTTTTCCCCGTACAATTGCATTACCGGAAGTCAACATTCGACTGGTTGCTGTCTGCTTCAGTTTGCAAGAGCACATTAGCGCCAGCTGAACCTCTAGCGTACTATATAATATTTTCATCGAGAGTACTTATGCCGACCGGATTTTCTAACTAGAACTTTATCTGAAGCTGCTCAGAGTGTCTTCGATGAAAATATGTTTAGATTTTTTAATGTTTTATCGCAAATCGAGTTCTGCTTTATACATGCGTATTTACTTTTACAAAACCAAAGGCTTATATGCTCATTTTTTAAGCCCGCTTTTAGGCGCCGCCGTTCCCGCATACAGCGGAGTCGGCGTCAAAATCGGCGTCACCGTCGGCGTGAACGCTGCACGCGGAAACGGGCGCCTAAGAGCCCCATGATGTAACACTGCGCGCGTTACATTGCGGAACGGTACAGACCTATACACCTATTCTATTCCTCGGTAAATTTAACGGAGAAACTGATTTGGTGTGTAAGTCTGCGGCGTCCCATAATGCAACACCGCGCGCAGTGCATTATGGGACGTGACAGGCCGCGGCTTCACGGAATGCGGCTTGGCGCTTCTCGCCGCCCCCAAACAGGGCTCTCGCCGCCATACTCTCCTCCTCCTCTCTCGCCTACCTTCAAGCAAAACAAAAAAAATTGAAATATTAATATACAGGGTGTTTCACGAAAGGTGGACAAATTCGATATTGCGAAAACTACGCGTCGCAAAATAAAATAAATAAAAGAAAAGGCTTGTGTCGTCTTGGTTTTTGGCCAGGGGCCCATTTAGGAAAATGATTAAAGTCCGGGATAATTAGGTTCGTAAATATGTTTGCGTAATTAACTTTATTAATATTGTGTTTAAGGGCATGGTTTCAATTAGAAAATTGCTGAACATCTTCGAAAAACACTAAATAAAAGAATTGCAGAATGATAGATGACATGAGAAGCATTTTACGGCTTTCTAAAAAAAAAAATGCGCAAGTTCTACGGGTTTTTAAGTTTCGGTTTGCTATCAAAGCGCATCTCGGCCCCGACGGGACCGCGCCCCGTGGAGAAATAGTGCAACCAACCTCTGCTGAGCTGTCCTAGCGCAACGCAACAGGCGCTCCTTCAGAGTCAGTTTGCCGAGTGGCCTCGCTCGCTATTGTTCTAGGGGCATGTTGTAAATGTTTCCCCAATCGCTTCAAAATCATTCCTCGTTTTTTGCAATGTCTCAATTTGAAGGAAGAACGTGCAACAATATTTTCTTTTTTTATAGAAACAAAAGGCGGTGTAACTCTCTTGTAGCGCTTCAGGCAGCTTACAAAGGAAACGCTATGAAGAAATCGAAGGTCTATGCGTGGTTTTCTCGCTTCAAGGCCGATGAATTATTGATCGACGACCAGCCTGGCCCTAGGCGACTTTCAACCTCCTCAATTGATTAAAACGTCGAGCAAATTCGGGCATTGTTTACTCCGAGTTTGTTCTTTCTGTTGAAACTATTAATCGAGTGTTTGATCAGGTAGTTTTGTGACGCTTGCCCAACTCAGTAAGTAAAAAATTAAAGGAAGATCTATGGGTGAATTTTAAGGGAATACGTTGGCATGACGCTTGGCAAACGCCAGACACTTCCCCCTTTGGGAAACACTAACGCTGGCGTGTGTGGCAGTTGCCAAGGGTCATGGTAACGCATTTGTAAGGATCTATTAATGGACCTTTACTTTTTTCCGGCGAAGCGAGCTCGCGGAGCCTGCTTCGCCCCAGCCTTTATCGCAGGCCGCTTCTTGCGTCGCATTTCGGCCATCCGAGCTAGGCGCTGCTTCCACTCCTCTGTCACGTTCCTCCGCCTTGCACGCTTCATCCGCTGCTTGACGGTGCTTTCGCTGTTCACCGGTTTCCCACGCGTGGATTGGCTTCCGTCCCGTGATGGCGCCTTCTGTCCGCAGATGGTCGGCGTCAGGTTTCCGCTGTCATGTAGGTACTATTGTGGGAAAGGGATAGGTGTGGTTCCATCACGAGAATACCCCAGCACACACTGGTCTATGAGTGCAACTATCGTTTAGCAAAAATAGCACTGCACCGCTTCGTCCCCTACTTAAGAGGAAAACGTGTTGTGGGTGTCAAAGGTCCTTCAAATCAGATTTTGTAATATACGATGAATGATTTTAAAGCGCCTGCATGCAGAAACAGTTTACAACATGGCGCGAGAACTTCAGCAGACGGTGCCGGTCGGCAAACTGACTCGGAAGGGGTGCCGCTAAGTTCTGCTAGCGGCGGAAGCTTGTAGTGCGAACGGCGCGCCCCCCGAAATTTATTCCGGCTACTTTTGGGTCCCCGCCTTGTATACGTATGATTGAGACGACTGTATTTAAGCGGGAACTTCACAACAAAACACGCCAGAAATGCTTTTTGTTTCGTACCTCGCATTGTTTTGTTTTGTTTTTATTTGCAGGACTCACGGATAGAAAGAATACGAGCCATGAACAAGAAGTATTCGTTGAAGAAATTATTCGACACGACGGCTACATTGAAGCAACTAAGCAGAATGACATAGCGCTTTTGCGCCTGAACCAGACTATCACTTTCAACGAGTTTGCGAGACCAATTTGTTTGCCTCCATCTTACGGTGAGTGTACGAACCAATTCGGAATAAGTACCTGGATGAAGGACGATAATGTCAAATGTACGCAGTACACCACGAGGGTATAGTGACACCCTAGAGCCACTAACTAATCTGCGGGTCAGCGCAAGGGAACGTCAGCCATCTTGTTACCTAATATAATTCGTTTCCAGTTATCTGAATCTTTATCTGAAATCAAGGCAAACGATTTACGTCCTCCAGAAGTGCCTCCAGAAGTGTTAAGAGTAGTCAAATGATAGAGCAAAAATATACGGCCTGAGCATTTTACCAAGCGTATCTGCATCTTAGGAAGTCGAGCTTTTTCCAATTTAACGGTCGCCAATTGCACCCGCTCTGCACTACGTAACAAAATGGCGGCGCATACTAGACATTCGGAAATTTGAGTTCCGAAACGCTGTACGTAACTCTAGGCATAACCAGTATAACTGAAAGCTGAAGGTAAAGGGGGACTGCATTGGAAGTGTACTCGCCATTCAGTAGCTGTACTTGACAAGTGTTCAGGCCACACTATCGGTGGACTAGAATTATATTAATAAAGTAATCTAACGGTATGTCTTTAGATCTATATTTATATATTCGAAACCTTTAATTTTTTTTTAATTTGCGTATAATGTGGATTGCCAAATCAGTAAAGTGATGAAAAGCGTCGGGCGCGCTGGAAGCGAGATATGGAGCTGAAGTTATCGCTTGTGATACAAGCTTAAGGCTGGCGAAGAGAAAGAAAACGAGGATGATGAAAGACGCAGGAACTGCGCGGATAATTTTCCCACCGCCAGCCTTGCACTGGTGGCACGACTGGTTAGTTTGGCGCACCAATGAGCTTCTCACTCTCGGTCTTTCTAGAATTAATCTTTATAGTAGCTTTGACGACACAAAAGAAGTGTCTAATTGGAACCATACCTATGCTTTCGTTAATTATAATTAATTAACAATATTTGACTTAATTTTACGCTTTGTCTTCACGTAAGCCCACTATATTATAATCCTCTGATGTGTAGCTCACTTACACAGACCATATAAAGTATGTACTTTTTACGGTTCTTTTACAATACTTCAGTTGCAATTAGAATCAAATACCCTGCATATAATATATCGGCGATTTCGTTTTAAATCACGCAGAAAAAAAAAAAGAGTAATGTCTCAAAAACTGCTAAAATACATATAGTCTGGGCAATTTCTTCACTAGAAGGAAACTGAAAATCGCTTTTGCTTTATTTTTCTAGATCACAAATTATTTACTTTTAAACAAACTAAAAGCGAATTTCGGAATTAGTGGGATCGTCACAAGTCACGCGTTTGAAAGCAGCATCAGGTTCAAATACCTTCCACACAACAGAGATACTTTTTACGAGGTTTTGAAAGCTATAATAATAGTGCCAAACGCTCATAAACATTTGTTGTTGTTTTTAATTTATTATTGTGAAAAATGCAAAGGATAGCCTCGTTGACATATGTACATGGTTCGGATAACTTTTGTTAACTTCACAAAAATGTGAATTTTTAAATTAGTTTTGTTTTTCTTTTTATGAGATGGCCTCGCTATCTTCTAAAAATTGCATTAAAAATAAGATGTAATATATTTTTTGAACATACAAGTTTGTACATTCGAAAATTAATTTATTTGTAGTTCTAGCTTAAAAGGACGGAGACTTGGGCGAGTTGGTTGTTTATACTTGGGTGAAACGGCGCACAGATTTACACACAGAAGACAGGCACACAATAAACAAAAACGCGCAGTGTACGTGTGTTTTTTTGTGAGCCTGTCTTCTGTGTGTAAATCTTGTGCGCTGTTTCACCTAAGCTTGAAGTTCTATTTCAAGATGCGAAGGTAGGTCGTAGCCATTTGTTTCTGCCAGATTATTATTTTTTGGCATTTGCTCATAGTGTATGTTAGCACCCATTTACCAAATTATTGAGCATGTTATGTTAAATATACAGATTGAATCATAAATATGCGCAGCTTGTTTACATAAGAATTAAAAAAATCGTAATAAAATTATTTTTGAGAGATTAGATACTCGAAATCAACAGTTTTAAGCGTTACCCCCTGAAAGTGGAATCCTAGGATAATCCTGGGATAACAAAAAAGGGGCAAGGACCTTTTATCTTCAAAGTACTATGATGCTGAAATGCACTATTTAAGGTGCGTTCTCCTAAAATATTCTGAATACATGAAACCGTCGTTTGGGGAGAGTTAAGAGAGAACCTATATTTTTACGAAAGACCCCGATACATTGAGCGGGGAAACTAACTATGGTTAATAGGTCTCCTTAAGTCAGGTCATGCAGCATCAACTTTCTCGCTAAACTTAGCGGGGAAAGTGGGTCGGTGTTGTGACCAATTTAGCTTTAGTAGCCGGCAATAAAATAATACCAGGGTAACCGAGTGACGGCGTCAGGTTTGAGGTGACTGTATACATAGAAATACTAAAAAGATCTAGTAACGCAAGTTCCCAAGAACATTTATTGAGACCAAAAAGTGACGTTAAAATGTGTTAAAGGCTCACACTTAAGTCCTAGGAAATTGTTTTAACATAAAATTGAGGGACAGTCCTAATTTCGAGCGTCCGTTCACAAACGACCTACCGAATGTTCCTGGTAGGACTAAAAGCTTTCTACTCTTTTTTTTTCAATTTTGTGTCGCAGCAGTGGTTATATGTGCTGCGTCACTTTTAGAAAGAATAGTTGCCGGCACTTCCCGGGCGACTGGATGAAGGAAGTCATCGGCAGGTTGAGTAGCTTCAAGTTCTGCCTTCCTCAGTTTGTTTACGAAAGCTTGCTGCATGAGCATCTGTACCAGGTGCGGGGAGTACCAGGTGCGCGACCCGCACCTGGTACTCCCCGCATGCCGCCAGAGAACGTATGTCACGTATGACCGTCTACATCGACGCCAATGAAAAAGAACGGAAGGCTGTATGTTTTGCCAAGGGCATTACGTTATGCCACTTATGGATGAACGCTCATAACAAGAACGAGTTCTTCAATGTTATGTTATAGAAGCATCGAAAGTAATGCTGTAACTTGTAACCGACTTTAATAGCGCTTTTCGATCATATGAACTATTCTCGTGAGCTTATGTTACAAGATATCTTGTATAATTATCTGTACTTGCGCCCGGTGTATGCAGGTTTTTTTAGTTTAAGAAAACAACTATTAGTAGGTCTAAACAAGCCTACATTCTTACAAGACTTATCGTCCGTGGAGATAGGATGTCTGGAAAAAAGTTGAGAATTCGTTTTTGGGCTGTGGGCACATTTAGACTATTTTGTTCCCCCCCCTCCCCCCCCCCCCCCGGAATACTTCATCATTACGCATAAAATCTTTGGAGAGAACTATCCACGGGATTTTTATTCTCATGAGACAATATGGGGAAGTATTTTAATTTCGATTTTTTATTTCTCTAAGTTAATAAATTGCACGCGTGTAGAAAAACCCTCATATATTAAACCTCAGATCCCGTGCTTGTATCAGGTTTAATTTATTTAATTGTGACTTAAATTAAACCCAAAAAGACTTTGAGAAGGTGTCAAGAATGAATGAATCACTGAGAGCAATATAGATGACAACGACCAAGCTTCGCATCTTATACTAAAGCTTGAAACATTTTGTACTTTTAAATGTACGAATTTATATATCCAAAGTATATAGCATCAGATCTGATTTTATTGGGTGGTTTTAGACCACACCAAAAGCTTTCTACAAAAAAACAAACAAACACAAAATAATAAAAAAATGGCTTAAAACGATGTTGAAATATGTATTTTTTTTGTTTCCTCTTGTATTCAAATCTGTTTTTCTCTTAAATAAGTTTATTTGACTATAACAATATTATACTCTCTGAATATGTCTCTGCTTAAGATTTAATTTTGTATATACTTTAAGCAATAACACAAAAGGTAACACATATTATTATCGTTTAAACCAGGCACATTATTGTAAAGAGGTTAGGGTCTTGACGTTTCACAATAATTTTTAAAAACAATAACACCTTTTTATGAACATGTGACGATTTTAATGTAGTTTCAAAAGCCACGTAACAGTTTATTCTGGTGCGAAAGGTATCTGAGCCTGGCGAGCCTTTCAAATCATCTGCGACGATCACCGAGATGCGAAAATACGTCTTTGGTTCTTTAGAAGTCAATTACTCAAGAACTAAAAATATTACACTACAACGCATCCCCGTTTCGTCTGAGGGAATAATTTCACCAGCATTTAAATATTTCCTAAAAGTTTTTGAATTATAATTCATTTATTTTTGTACACAATTTGAAAGGAAATTGCTGATATAGAATATTGTCCTTGATAGTTTGCGTCTTCTGTGGCGATCATAGGTTCAAGCGGGAAACGTTTCGGGACCCGGGGGGAATTCGCCAGTCCAGCTAAAAACCTCTTAATTACCTCGTTTATTTTCGCCGGTATAAAAACGCTACGCGAAGAAGTCTGGGAAAAAGAATGCTTGGGACATGAAAAATATCTGCTGAATAAATATATGACTTGATTTTATATAATATAATTAAAAGGAAAATACACCTTGTAAATAAAAAAAAAGTAGTTTTGTTAGGCAAGGGTCATGTGGTTGGCGTGAGGTCGCAATACCTGTCGCGGCTTCAGGCCACCTATCCCGGTGCACCACCAGATTGCCCGGCGGGGTCTGTTTTTCCGACCATCCATGTTATCTCGCTTTCTTGTTATCTTCTAATCAACGGCCCTTGGAATGTTTGGGCAAGGTGCCGAAAGTGACTGGATATAGAGCGTGGTAAACGGCGCGAAACCACGAAGTATCTCACTAACAGCTATCGCTGTAAAAACTTGTAACAGATATCGGGACTCCTTCGTAAAAGTGTCCACCAAATTGCCGCCAGAGATTTGAAGAATGTAGCATATTAAAGGGACCATGAAGGCAATTTAATTTTTTTTTTAAAAGAAGGTGTTTCCGCAAGCATTGGGGTCCTGGCATGCCACACAATTTTTTCTAGAACGTTGTGA